TTGAAAGACATCAGCTTTTTCTTCAGAGATTAGTGCTTTTCTCTTGATATTGGCGGTTTTTAACGCTTCAGTCGTCAATTCGTATTTTCAATCTAGCTTTGTAGTCTTCCACTTTCATTACAACCGTCTTTGCTCCCTTGTCATCACTGTTCACAACTAAGCCAAGGTCCTTCAGCTCCTTCCGGAGAATTTTTACCGATCTCATATAAATGAACGGCGGGTTGGAGAGACATTTCTTTATATTGTTTTTTACGATGTACCATACTTCAGCAACGATGGGCGTCTCTCGTCGCCTTTAGATCTTCGTCAGCATAGAAAAATGAGTTTTCAACCAAAACTCTATAATGACTGGCATTCACCCGTGGCTTATGCAAAGAGAACATGCGCCCTAAGTCAAGCAGGTCTTTCATCAATTCATTAATGCTGAATCATGTAAGGTTCTTTATTAAAGAGTTTCTGAATTTACATCAGGCCAGAGTCTCTTCAACTTCAACGTGCAGAATGTGCCAAAATAAGTTTTTTGACCTTCCTGTTCTGTTGGGTCATGATCTTTTCATATGTTCTGTAACAGTGTAACTCTACGCTCTTCTGTATCGGGAGAAAAGCAAAATGGGTACTGTGTTGGAAACCATTTTTATTAGTTCATCAATCTCCTTGTCAAACTAACCTTCTTGGCAAAGTTGTTATTCAAATTGGTCTTCTCATCAACTTCGCAGGACAGTTGAAAAGTAGCCTGTCAGCAAATGTACCATATACATTCTTAAAATTAAAGCCCACAATCTTGCAGATTGTAGTCTTGCATACAGTTCTTCAAAGGTACATATGATCTCAAAGAATGGGCCAAAAATTTACAAAATGAGGCAGTTCTACTCCGTACCCCTGTCACAGTACACTTCGAAAAGTCTTATATAGGTTCTTTAATGAAAAGTTAAAAATGTTACACTGAATATAACATTAACCTTATAGATTAAAGCTCGAATAAACTTAATGCCTTGTTTAGCAATTCAGAGATTAACGGTTCTCTAAACTGGTTATACAAATTGCTACGTATTTACTGGAAGCATTAAAGAGGAGAAATAAGGAACCCCTTCACTCGAAGAACAAAGATGCCTTTGTCAAGTTGAAGAAGACCGATGATCGCCGGTCAACGTGAATATGATGCAGGGAAGCGTCCCGGAAAAACGGCAACGCGTTTCCAGCAAAGGCAACGTCAAACACGAAAAGATTTCTGGGATTGCACAGTACGCGGCGCAGTAAGGACTAAGGACACACCCCAAATGATTAATCAGCACTTGCGTCAGAAACCGCACAGAAACTGGTTGGGGCGACGTGTCAAGAAGGCGTTATGCCTCCGGTCCTGCAGATCAATGTCAGCTTTGAAAACAACATGACC